ACACACACACACACACACACACACACACACACACACACACACACACATACATCACACACACATGATGTATGTATATGCATTTAGCGACAATAACAATAAAACAGCATAAAAACAAACAAAACGTTCCCTTCGACATGGTTTTTTTTTTTTTCTAAGTTTGTTCAAAACACACACACACACACACATACACGCATATACACGTCCACATATATAAGCATACAACCACAAATGCAAAGTATAAATGGAAAAAAAATTTCAATCAAGTTTTTCGGTGAATTCAATTTAGAGCAAAAGTTGAAAAAGTCAACATCAAATACATAAATAACTTATGTCCTTGGTGGTAAATTTATCTGTAATGGATATTTAGATTAAATACTACACACAAAAACAAATACACAAACAAATCAAAAACTTTGTTTTATATGTATCAGCTAAGGGTGTTCGGTGCCAAAGCGCAAACCTTAGCAAACTTTCATCCACATATGGATTCTCGTTCTCCAACTAAGAATTGGAATCAGGAAAACAATATACCGATTTCAGATTCAATAAACGGATAAAGTACCCTTTTTATATAAAAATTTATTAAAATTTTTATTTAAGAAAACTGCACTTGACAAGTAATACATAAATTTTGCTCCAGATTTAAAAATAAATGAACACAGCCCAGAGACATGTGGAAGGACTATAGAATTTGCTTGCTAACCGAACCGTAATCGATCAAGAATATTCATAAGATCGCCTACTAACACGACAGAGAAAATTTTGAAAACAATTATTATACTGAATATTTTTTGAAAGTACCACAAGAAGAAGCGAAGGACTGAGATGAAAAATTAATTTGAAAATAGAATACATTGCGCGGTATGGGGCATTTCAGAATGTGTGAATATGGGAATATGGGAGAAAATGGTCATTGTTTTGTTATAAGAAATATTACCCTTTGTCAAAGATTTAAGTGACATATTATAGTTCAAGCGAGGAAATATGAACTGTCAAGAGATAAACAGTTATCGATAGAGTTTTATTTATTAATTATTTGATCGTAACCTGGGAGAGGTGAATGTCCAATTGGCAGACTAATATGAATAAGGTGACCACGCTAGAATCGATGAACGCAATTCACGAAATCGAAGTTGATAACTTACCACTGAAAGTCTAATAAATGTCCTAAATCACTTATTGAAAAAAAAATTTGGCTGTATATGAGAGGTAGTAAGGTCGAAACAATAAAATTGAAAAATTTTAATCGATTGGAAAAAAGGCGAGCACCATCCATCTGTTTTCCATCTGCTTACACGAGCATGGCATCGGGCATTGATTCAGTCGATGCCCGTAGAATAATTTGTATTTAAAAAGAAAAGCAATCAAATGAGACTACTTCACGAACGTGTCGCAACGTTTAAGTGATGACGACTTCAGATGAAAAAGAAAATGTTGGCGTCCACTTCACAATTCAATTTTCAGGGCGTAAAAAAACTTCTAACGTACCAACACGTCAACGTACCAGTAAAGAGGAATTTCATATTTCAGAATTCTTAAAAATGCAGCAAATACTGCTCTCCTGAAATCGGCGCAAATTCATTGATTAAGTTTACAGAATTCCACCAAACGCATCTATCTTCTGCAGTCTCTGCATTGTCTGTATCGAAAATCAAGTAAATTTAAAAGACAAAATATATAAGAAGATTAAACTTAAGTCATGTTGAGTTTATGTCGAGGAGACCTTTTAAAAATACATATTCGGACAAAATAATATTTGGGAAAGCGCTATCTAGAACGAAATGAAATTTTGATGTCGTATGTCCTCTCTATCGCTAAAATCCCTAAAGGTCGCACAGGTTAAAATGGAAAGTGAAGAACTTAAGTGGTAGATGCCGAACTATAGTTAGTAATAAAAAAAGAGAAAATTATTTATTAAATTTTTTCCCAGATATCGATCTGGGTTTTGGCATAAATATTTACAGAGCCGCATAAGTACTCTGTGCAAAAGTGGCTCCAATTAATCGAATAACATAGGTAAGATGACATACTTATGTGAAATTATGCTCAAAATAGATATGGATTTCAAGAAGCGTGTTTTTTTTATTCTTTTTACCTTTTTCTTCTTTGCTTGTAAGCGCTAAACACGAGCATAAAGAAGGGAAAGAGCTTTTTCACGATGAATGCAGAAAGATGAAATGTTTGATTTTAGTTCAGTAAGCGAATGAACGCTTCTCTAGGTGATATGCTTAGTTAAAAAGACCGAAACATTGCTGCACGTTGCAGTTCCTTTAGATATAATACATATTTTATATACATATATATGCATATAGAATAGAATAGAAACTGTAAAAGCCTCCATAATACACTTGAATGTAATAATTTAGTAGCAGTACCGACTTTTAAAGAAAAAAGAAAATTTATGCTCATCAGAAAGACTATCTCACCTTTATTAAAAATGGCCAATCCATTTTCTGGATTTCAGGATGTTCGGTTTCGTAAATAAAAACAGCCTCCATTGTGTTGGCCAACAATAATAAAATGTACACGCAAACAGAGAAACACACGCACACTCACTTATGTGTAATTTTAAGTTGTAATCAACAGAAAATTCATTTTCATTTTTTCTTTTTATTTAATAAATATACATATACATATACATATATAATATATATAATATATATATATATATATATATATATTATTTATTTATATATCTTTTTTATTTTGGAATTTTTACCGTTATTGTCTTAAAAATATGAAAATAAACTAAATGAACATCACAAGCGCACGCAATAAATAGTTTATTAAAGAATGCAACAGAGAGACACAAGCCACAATTATTATTGTGGGTACGGTCAGTGGCACAATTTCCACCCTAAATACCCAATGCATGCGAGAAAACAAAAGGACTTGTTTAAATGTCTCCTTTAATACATTCCTTTGTAACTCATATTCGCATTCTCATACCATACAAATTGTTGTTATTGGTATCCACGAAGAAGAAAAAATTAAAACAAAAAACTTTTCCGTTAACTCCTCTTTTTTTTCTTCGTCTTTCCTTCTTTATTCTTTATTGTTTCTATTTTCAATATATTTCTTTCGTTGAATTGAATAGGAATCGAAAACACACCGTTTAAATAATAATAATTTTGAATAAAAATATTCTTTGTTACAATAATGTTGAGCAATATATTTGATAATAAAAAAAAAATTTATATATTGTAAATTAGACTCTTTTTTTGTTGTTGTTGTTGTTGTTGTTATTGTTGTTATTGTTGTTGCTGTTGTTGCTCTTATTTTATATAAATTAATTTACAAAGACACACCGAGAAAAAATTTATTCAGATTTCCCTTCGTTTTGTATATACAACGCGCACATTTCCGTTTCAACAACCACCATGTCCTTTTATTTTTTCTCATCTAACGGGATTCTATGCTGTAATTGAGTACACATGTACATAATGCCTTAGTAATGTAAAATTAATTCCTTCTAAGGATGAATGTATGCGTGAAACATACGTTTTGTGAAAGCTTTTGCGTTTTTACTTCTTATTAGAAAAAGCTTTGAAAAAAATTCTTGTTAGCATTTTTATTAATCAAATGGCAACTCTCTCTGTGCTTGCCTTCTCTTACTAAAATCTAATCTTATACCGTTAACTTAAATTAATTACAAGATTTGTCTCATTCCTTCTTAACGCCAAAACTAATCATCTTCAGTACTTTTGTCGGTGAGTTGAGATCATTCTCTCCAATGAGTTAGCCTTTGTTAAGTCAAAGAAAAACTTTGGGGCTTTTTTTTGAATAACTTGCTCTCTCTTCAGCAATATGAACTCTATCAAGCCCTACTAACTCTGTGAGAAAAAATTGATAAAAAAAAAACATTGAAGCGTTAACGCTTTGCATGCTTTTGAAGTCCGTGATCTTTATACAACGAAAACTTTTATCAAAATCAATAGCAAATAAATATTTTCGCTCGTTTCCGTTATAGAAATTTTGACTTTAAAGACGTACCCCTCTTTTAAGTTTTAAAAAAAAAATCAAGAGAAATCGTCACTTTTCATCCTATGGCGCAAATATATTTCTGAACCTCTTGTGTAAAGTTGGATAAAAAAAAAAAAATTTTTAATTTGAATATCACCTGAGTTAATAGGAAAAAATTTAATTAACCGACTTTCCACTCGAGTTGTATCGCTCCTGATTCTAACAAGGTTTGCATTTGCGTCATATAGGGTAATGTTTCGTATTTTGTGAGATTAAGAGAAAATCGATTCTCCAATTTGGCGAAACGATTAGTTCCACTCTGTACCGCCAACGACCAACGCCGCTTAAGTGTGCAAATGAATCAAATGTGTTAATAGGAAAAGCGTGGTCTTTCGTAACGACTATTGCCCGATTATTCTCGGTTTTAATAATTTCTGAGAGCTTAACTAGAACATTTAGTTAGATCTGCCATATAATCTGTTTGACTAGAAGAGATCTTTAAAAATCACTTAGTTCAATTGTTCGCTCGCATCAGTTTTGCCATAATGCCGTAATAGTTTCACCGGAGCAGCGTCAAAAGCCTACCCATCAAAATGACATAATCACATACGTAGGTTTAATAATCGTCATTAAAAATATATAAACAAAAAATTTGGTTAAATGTTGATGAAAAAGCGCTATGAGCATTTTCCTTGATCTATTATTGCCTTGTTACTAATAGATGCTTGCATGCAATTTAATCAGTCGCATCTATTCATGAAAGTGATAAAGTAATGCAAAGTATCAATTTACATAACGGTTAAATTCAATAAGTTTGTCCTTTCTCTATATAGGATAACAGTTTTCCATTTTCCATTTAGTATTATTGATTTATTCAGTGTACATGGACGCTAATCGTAGAACGCTTAAAATTGCACTTTAACATTCATTACTTTTGTTGTTTGATTTGAAGAATTTTCTGCTGAAGCCCTTCAAACACTTTTAGAAGCTTATAATGATCCTGTTCAATCATGTCCGAATTGTCGGTTTTGATTTCGACGACTTAAAAGTAATGATTTTGATGATGTCAACGACACAGACCCGCCTGGAGGACCAAAAATAAGTTGCTAGACTTGTTGAACGAAAACTCAGCTTAAACTTTGTAACGTCCGCTTACGAACGTAGGCGTGTTCGGGGTCTGTCGGTCTGCTTTGACCAATAATATCGTAATAACGGCTTGCCGTTATGCAAAACGAGATCGTAATGGGACTAATGTTTTGGCTTTTGAAAAGTGAGTTAGCATTTTGTTTTGTTTAGAAGGTGTGTTGCTGATCGAGATAATATACGAAAATAAAATTTGTTTAATATATTGTGTTAAGTTAAGCGATTTTACCCAGCACATGAGTGCTTTTATTTGTTTTATAAACAATTTTGAGTCGAGAGCTAAATTTATTTTCTTTTATGAAAATGAGGATATTTTTGAGAGACAGTAAAAAGTGAGAAATTCAGGAAAAAAAATAATTTTAGAAAATAAGTTTATTGAGTACTTTATAATACAATTAAGACAAAACCAAAAATACCTCACATATTGCAAAGCAAAAGAAAGGATAATCACGAAGAATATAAATATAAGTTAATTGGAATAAAAATAAAAGAATTGTTTTCTTGGTAAACTAATAAAAAGCTGGGAAAGTGCAAAATTGTAAACGAGATTGAAAAAAAAAATAAAAATAAATAAGTAAATAAATACGAGTAAAAATACCAGAATTTGGACGTATTATGGTGATTTCATTAGTTCAGACCATATGTAACTCTTTTGTTCAATGCAAACTCTTCCAATAATTTTTGGATAAAACAAGTCATCAACGAATCGATTCTATCAAACATATACATGATAAATATATATATATACATATATACATATATATAATTAAAATAAAACTACGAGCAAATGCGTGCATTCATGAACAAAAAAAAGAAAAAATTATAATAATAATAACAATGTACTTAAGTCTGCTGCACTACAACCGGCTGGGAATAAATCAGTCTACGATCCGTTTCGTGATACGATTATTCCATCAAAATCAGTCCGTGTTCAACAACAACAACTTTTCGGACAATCCATTAATCAACGAAGACAACAACCCCTTTGCTGTCAACAGCAGCCAAGATCCGTGGACACCTATCGTCAGTTCAACTTTAATAACAATACAGAATAATAACAAAGTGCCGTGGGTAAGGAAGGAGACATTGGCATCGAGCTTGTTCGTGTCATCAACATAAGTATATCATCATCAGTATCATTCACCAACCGATCGTAAATCAAAGTACAAATAAAATAATTCCTGATTGAACATTTTCGTATATTTCCCAAAGCCATGATCGGTGCTTAAGTAATTGAAAACACAAAGCAATAAAAATTAAAATTAAAAATTCTTCACTAAGAGGATATACTCCACCGCTGAAGCGGAGTATGAGTGGGTGTACGCGCGAGTGAATGTAGGGGAACTGGGAACGGTTACTGACGGAGTAACAAGTGACCGACGGACGGCGCACCGTACGGACAACAGACCTTACAAACGGACTTACACAGCGTAAGCTCATTGAAGGTTGGATTTAATCTTTACCTTTTTTTGATTTTATTTTTACCCCATTTCATGTAAAAATCTTTTTTTTATTTTTTTTTAATTTGGTTTTGTCATGCGGCACAGCCTACCTGTATAAATTTATGAACGCTCTGCCACGCAAAGAGCTATGCCCGTGACAAGTTTAAAAAAACTTTCGAACAGGTTATCAGTTGATGAATTAGCTGTTTGTAGGATTGTAAACACTTGGGATGAGAAATATTCAAAAGGTAGAAAAATGGCTCCCATACGAACTGATTGAAAATGCCACTTTAAACCGTTCCAATATCGCGATTTCATCGATTGACAGATAAAAAAGAATCGCCTTCTGTGACGTATTGTGGCTGGCAATAAAAAGTGAATTTACTACGACAATCGCAAGAGCCAAAAGTCATGGTTTACTCCTGGAGACCCATTCACATGAAGCGAAATATTCATGGCCATAAAATGTTTACTGTGCATATGGTAGGGTCAGCAAGGTGTAGTGTATTAGGGACTGCTAAAATGGAATGAAACTGTTACTGCAGATGTCTACCGATGTCAATAACGGTTAACAGACGTAAAGTCATCCTCTTGCGTGACAACGCTGGTACGCACGTTGCAAAAGTTGTCAAGGATATGCCGGTATAGCTTGAATGGAAAGTTCTGCCGCACCCAGCGTACTCACCAGTTGTAACGCCTTGTGATTACCACGTGTTCAAATCGATGTAGCATGGATTGGGCTGGCACCAGACTCCACAAAGTTAAAGAAGTGGGAAAATGGGTCGATGATTGCATCGCTGCCAAACCAGTATAAGTTCTTTCGACACGATATAGCCATGTTGCCAGAAAGATGGGAAAAAGTTTGTAGAAAGTCGCGAAAAACTTTTCGTTAAATATATGTTGCACCGATTTTTTCAATAAATGCCATTTTCACATGAGGAATGATCAGAATACATGCAGTCATCTAATATTTTGGGTCAATGTCTGATCGATATCCGACTACACATGGTTAATTACTTATAAAAAATATTAAAAGTTTTCGTTGTTCTCAATGAAATGTAGTTTTATGGACAAATTCTCCCAGTTTTGAATTTCTTGTAAAGAATAAAAATGGAATATAAATACGCGGCTGATTCTCCCACGGCCCCTAAATCATCTACAGATCAAATAATGGATGGAACGCTTCGAAGTACCAACATTTTGTGCACACTTTGCCAAAAAAATAGTATGGCGGTCTAGCAAAAATTTCCCCTGATATGTGCCGTCAAGCACACCTATTATGAGATTATAAGATAATTAAACTGAAAATTAGTGGGATGTCAACTTTTAGAGTCCTTTGGGGGTTAGTTTACTTACATAAGCTCGTATATAAGTGAAAAACTTGACTTTTATTAAAGAAATGTTTATATATGAACAAGAAAGTTATATCCGCCTTGCGGCGGATGTAAATATAGGAAGGTTAGTTGATTAACAGAGAAGACTTATACACTGTTCTTTTAATTGGCTCTTTTGAATATTTGTGTGGGATTTTAGCACGATATCTCTCTAAGAAAAATAAGTGGCAGTGTTTTATCTGCATAGATGCTTGTAGGGAGTTGAAGACCAATATTCAAACTATTTGCATTGTCTTGGCATAGTTGTAGCATCACGTCCATTTTGCAATTCAATCAACTAACACTAACTTTCTGTCTTTACCTTGACTATCGCAAAACTTTTGCAATGAATGGATATATGGACGAACGGATGGATAGAGTTGCAAATCAACCGATACTTTGATGATGAATATAAAAGGTATTACCATCAGTTAGGTTATAATATAAACTTTCTACACTTCACCCTCGTTGAAAAAAGTTGAAAAAGAAGTACTGTCCTAGGAGCAAACAGCCCATAAAATTATTAAGTACGCAAAGAAAAGGCCTTTATATTATGTAATTCCTCTATTCTCCTTTACATATTGTCTCCGCCGTGCCACTTATAAGAGCCATAATATTTGAAATTGTTTTCAAGTAGTTTAAGGTCTGCTTCAACCGGTCCTCTCGAACCGTACGGATATGGTATGGGGATAACGCATTCTCTTTCTATTTCATGTAAAATAGGAGTAAAAATTCGCCAGGCTTCACGCAACTCGTCATTACGTACAAAGTGCATTTGTGAACCAATGAAAACGTCTAGAATTAAACGCTCGTAGGCATCTGGCAGGTATGAACCTTTATAGCGATGCTCGTAGGTTAAGTCCAATTCAGTTTCTTCTATATCGAAAGCAATGCCCACACTCTTAGTCATCATTTTAATGTACAAAGCTTCCCCTGGTTGTACTCGTATCACTAATTCGTTACGTTTTGAATTGCCTTCGAAAATATCACCCGACACGTCCTGGTACTGTATACGTATCTCTGCTTTACGTTCATTTAACGCTTTGCCGCAGCGCAATACAAACGGCACATCTTGCCAGCGTTCATTATTAATTTTTAAAATAGCCAACGCATAAGTAGGCGTTAAGGAACCGGTTGGAACGGTTGGATCCTTCAAATAACCTTTATGCTGATCGCACTCACTTTCAAGACAATCTACATATTGGCCTAAAACCATATCGTCGCGTGTCAAGGCGGGTATGCATTTTAAAACTTTTACTTTCTCATTTCGTATATCATCGGGGTGGCAGGTTACTGGCTTCTCCATGGCCACTAAGCTCAAAATTTGTAATAAATGATTTTGCATGACATCGCGTATAATACCGAATTGATCAAAGTAACCGCCTCGTCCTTCAGTACCAAAAGGCTCTTTGAATGTTATCACAACGGAGGCAATATTTTCGCGGTTCCAAGTAGATCCCAAAATTTTATTAGCAAATCTAATGGTCATCAGATTTTGCACCATTTCCTTACCCAGATAGTGATCGATACGATAAATTTGCTCTTCTTTGAATAAAGAATCTAAATGATCGCTCAATAGCTGCGATGAATCAAAATCGTGTCCAAATGGTTTTTCTAAAATAATACGATTCCATCCCCTTTAAATAAAAATAAGTTGATTAAATAGAAATTTGATATTCTATCAATTTGCCTAAATTTCAAATATTCTCTCTCACCTTATCGACAAACAAATTCCTTTGATATATCTAGTTACCGTTTTGTAAACCGACGGCGGCAAGGCCAAATAAAATATTCTATTCGCTATCGCCTTATTTTCTAAATTAATAAGTGTTTGTTGCAGTAATTCGAAATCCTTATGACCATCATAATGACCCGAAACATATTCATGCAGTTTCCAGAATTCTTCAAAACGTTCTTGATCACGAGGCTCAATCTGAAATAGTTTTAACGTTCATAAGTTTAGGCGAAATAGATTATTTTTTCACAAATTTACCTTCATGTACTTTGTGCAAGCAGCTCTTACAATGGTCGTATTTAAATTGGAGCGTGAATAGCCACAGAACTTAGTTGGCTGCGGTAAAAGATTGTCGCGGTATAAACACCACAAGGTGGGATAGATTTTCTTTTTAGCCAAATCTCCAGAAGCTCCAAACACAACAAACGTATGCGGAATTTGCCAATCAAAATGTGTTCCCTCACAAATCATAGTAGGCGCCTTCAAAGATCTCCGAATGTGTTCTAAAGTTTCTTGAGAACTACTGGCGAAGCCTGTAAAAAATTATAACAAAAATAAATAATAAATTTCTAAACCTTTCATATTATATTAAAGCGAAGTCGCAAAATTCATGAACATAACGCAAACCGTTTCTCCTTGGAATTTCAAAGAGTTGAGGAGTTCACTATCGGACAAAATTCCATTATTAGAATTCCATTATTAGAATTCTGATTAATTTAAAACAAATAAATATCTACTAAATAAGGGAAATACACTTGAAAGTGTTTCTCGAGTCATAAAGCAAATTAAACCAGTGAGAAAATTATATTCAGTCAAGACCGAATATCTTATACCCGTCGCCGTTACCCTGAAAAAGGCTAAACATTGAAAGAACTAAATTTTCATGCTCTGTAATATGGGGTGGAGGTGATCGGATTTTCCCAATTTCAAAATAAAAATCTTTGTCTCCTAGGCGTGTGGGCGTTGTAGGCGTGTTCTTTGAAAACGTTGAGTCAATTTAGGCGCATTCTGAAATTGAAACTGGCCAGGAATTATTATACTTTAAAGTTTTTTTAAAGCTTGTTTCTGCGCGTTATAAACTTATTGAAAAAACAATTAAATTTTGATACACTATACTACTATTGGGTAGGCGTAACCAATTTTTTCCATTTTTGTGCACAGATGCTACAGCATCACCTACAGAATATACGTTATGGGGGCATGCTACAAAACCCAGTTCAGATTTTGAACTATGTTTAGAAAAATGTTGATGTAGGATACTGAAACGAGCTTTTTGATGTACTAACGCCTGCCGGACGTTTATATTTGGAATTCTCAAAATCATGCGCAACAAGTATCAAAAAAAAGTTCGTTTTCCAAGATTCTCCCAAGAGGCGATGTTACTTGTCCTTACGTCTGTGAATAGCAGTCACTTGCGCATGTGAAAGCGCGTAGTAAATGTTTGCTTGGGATTGCTGCTTGGAAGCAGACGTACGGTAGAGCTGTTGGAAACTTCAAAACATACATAACTTGGCTTCACCTGTGCAAATGCTGCAATTTTGATATGAAATATAAAGAAGGGGAAATTTGACAATGCTGAATTTCAAGCAATATTAGGTAAGGGAATTACATTAACTGAGCACATTACTAAGCCAAGTGTTAGAGAAACAACAGCCGTAATATGTTCAGAGGCATTAGAACATATTTGGACAATGCACAGGATAATGTCTTCGAAAATCCCTCAAGAAAATGCTAATAGCGTCGAAGTGGAAATTTCTATCACTCCGCGCTGTGTCTATTACCGCAACACTTTGTAGTGTTACCATTAAGAGAACATAAATTAAGTGCGTGAAAAAGGTAAGAGAATTAAAATGATGACACACTTCAAAAGTGGCGCCCTTTGAACACACACACATATGCATGCACATGTTATTTGAATTAGTTTATTTTGTTAATTTTATATTTTGTTTAGATTGCTATTTGTTTGTCTAGGTTATTAAATTGTGAACAATTAGCGTAAGGCTAAATTTACATATACGGAAAATAGTATATAAGACGAGATTAGCTTAAATAAAATTATCATTGTCAAAACTAATCTTTAGATGGTCATTGCATTCTATTAAAACCGCATTCAGTTTGTTAGGAGATTAACCCCGGGTAAATCACAATAGCCTTGCCGTTCTGAAGCCGAGCAACGCAGATAAAATAATTGTACGCTAGAGATCCTCCACTTTAATTCTTTACTATAGTAAAAGGCGATCTTGCTGCCGTATCTTCAACAATTTAAATCTTATATATATAAAATTATTACATGGCGATCACGCCCACTACTATTTCATAAAGGTCCTAGTGTACTTTTGAAACACACGATTGTTTTTGATAAATGTTGCACATACATTCCAACCTAACTCCGTTACGCCAACACCACAGAGGAAGACAACCGCTCACTATTAAAAAACTCCACAAGAGAGCAGCACAAAAAATAGGCCAGCAAAAAGCCACAATCTCCAGACCAAAGAAAAAAGGCGGGAAACTCATAAGGAGCCATAAACACCTCCAATACCTAAAATATCAAGCATTACTCGAATTACAATTACAATGGAAAGATTAGATGAGATAAATATCTCAATAGATAGAATCATATCAAATACAAGAAAATTAGGACAGAGAAAATATAAGCCAGAAACTGTAGAAAACGAATTACAAGAATTAGAAGAATATGGAGAGAGAGCCAACAAGATAAAAATAGAGGGCCTAGAAGAAGGAATCGTGGAAAAACTACAACTATTTCAACAAAAATACGAAATTGTCGAAAAATTATTAGAAGAAAACAACAAAAAAGAACCAACAACCCCTAAAAATTGCATTCAATCTAGAAATCGCTTCTAAATACATTCTCTCACTCCCAGGCAACTATGAAGACCTTAACCTCTTCCTAAAAGTAAGCGAAATAATAAAAACGTTAAATTCAGAATTAAAAAACACTGCTAACAGAATATGTTTTCTTCTGTAAATTAACAACAAATGTACAAACCGCTTCAGTAAACCAAAACCAACTCTTTGAAGAGCTAAACATTATATTGGCAGCCAAATATAAATCCCCCCAAAACCATTCCAGACCATCACTCCACCCTCACACAAATCACACAGAAAGGTAACATAACAAACTAGAAAGATAAAATTCTCAACATAATTACCGAATTAAATGACTTTCGAATCAAAGGAACAGAAAACTTTAACAACTAAACTTAACGAGAGATGTGCATTAATCATATTCAAAAACGGCCTTGATCATTGCATTAAACCTATGTTGCGTTGGACTATGAAAGAACAGTCCAAGGAAGTCCTAACAGAACCATGCAAATAATTGTAAGAAGCTTATTAATAAAAACGATAATAACAGATATTACAACGACAGGCAATACAATTCCATCAATAACCGAAACTATAATCATAATAGAAACCGTTATGACAGTTTCAATAACAACACTAACAAAAATAACAATGCTAACGATCAAAGGCATTACAATAATACTAACAGAACTAACAGAAACAACAGATATCGAGAAAACAACATCGGCAACTACCACAATACCCGAAACAAGCGCATACATTCAACAGAAGAATAGGGAAACCGATTCAACCCAAATTATCTGATCCCAACACAGAATTCGAGACAAAACTCCACCCGAAAGTGTACCCTTACACATTTTCAAAACCTCAGGTCACACTGAACGAACATTGAACGGGCATCACAAGTAGAATTAACATTCCTACTTGACACAGGAACACAGACATAAGCCTGTGTTCAGCTCGCTGCAAAGCCTACTTCAAGATTGCTCACGGAATGAATCAGAATGCATCTAACTAATGGGTATCGCTGATGAATCCGCATAAACACTTAAGAACAATCGCACTAAACATAAACATTCGAAATGAATGCATACACCGCACAATACAATTGATAAACCAAAATTTCCCCATAAAAACGGACGGAATTATATCGAGACATTTTTTGCGCAAATACGCTTGGAACACAAACTATGAACATTTCACTTTAACTATTAACGCAAGAAATGGACAAATTAATCTAACTATTTATGACCAAGTCGTCCGCAAAACCAGCATAATTCTCCCCGCAAGATGCGAAATAATAATACGAACAGATGTAGTACTAAATAAAGGGATAGAGAAAGTTATATTCATAGCCAAAAGAAGGACGAAAACATATGAAAGTGCTAGACCCGCTAGAAAAAGAAGCAATCATCACCTTTCATCGCCTTATTACATCACCTACACCTTAATACAAAACCAGTTAACGATTACGAAATCGTAAGCAGTAGCACTCAAACTCCATGTAATAAACAACGTTTCAAAAAATTATTACAATCCATACAACTTGACACTTAAGATAACCCTCAAAAAAAAAAACTCATAAATACATTTGCAAAATATCAGTCAATATTTCGCTTAGAAACGAGCCCCTCACAGCAAATAATTTTTACACTCAAAACATAGAAGCAAACGACAACATACCCGTCTACATCAGAAACTACAAATTACTACATTCACAAACTGATACCATGCATACACAACTTAACGAACTACTAAGACAACAAATGATTAAACCTTCTACTAGCCCCTCCAATTCGCCCTTTTTACTTTTTTTGCTTTGCTTCGAAAGATTAGGCCGACATAAGAAATGGCGATTAATTGTAGACTGCGGGAAGTTGAGTGAAAAGATCGTAAACGATAAATTCCCCTTTACGAGACTGGAAGGACATTTTAGACAGAGTAGGAAGAGCAAAACATTCTCCGACACTAGATATGACAAATTCATACCGTCAGATAAAACTAAATAAAAAACCGAGACCCCTAACAGCTTTCTCCACACCCAACGCACGTTACCAATACACAAGTCTAACCCTCGGACTTAAACTTTTCTCAAACAGTTTCCAAAGAATGCTAACCATGGTTTTATCAGGATTAGACCCTGAGGAATTCTTGTACGTAGATGATATTATAATTCCGGGATGTAGCTTCGACCATCACAATAGGAATCTAATGAAAATACTAGAAAGACTCGAAACCTCCAATCTAAAGCTAAACTCGGACAAATGTAATTTCCTGCAACACGAACTAACCTACCTAGGACAACCTATAACTTCTGGCGGCATAAAGCCAAATCCCAACCAATTCGATACAATAAAGAGCTACCCCTAACCAAAAAACGCAAACGATGTACGAAGATTTATAGGATTTTGCAATTACTGGAGGAAATTTTTAAAAAATTTTGCAAACATAGCGCAAAAACTGAATAGTCTACTAAAGAAGGGAATAACATTTAATTGGGTAGACAAATGTCAAGAAGCATTGCAAGAACTCAAAATCAGACTTATGTCATCGAACAATACAGCAATTTTAAAAAACCATTCATTCGAACAACAGGCACATCAAGTTATGGCCCAGCTAGGCGCAGTACTATTACAAGCAGAGATAGGCGAATATCTACCTCTTGCTTACGGTGGCAAATCTCTAAACAAACACGAAAGAAATAAACCAATCATAGAAAAAGAACTATTGGGAATTAGCTTCGGTATCACCCATTTCAGACCATACCTGTTCGATAGAAACATCATAGTAGTAATTGACCATAGAGCTCTTGTATCTTTTATTTCGCATAAAAATCCTATATCAAAACTTACCAGGATGAGGATCAGACCGATCGTCAGACTACGATTTTGAAATTATATACAAAAAGGCTACCTGCAACACGACTGCAATTCCATTATCAAGAACAAACACCAATTCGGACATGCTCAAGAAATTGATCCCAACAACCAGAGAAGAGGATCAGGAACATATTCAGAAAACTTTCATAATAACTAGAGGTATGGTAGCAAAGAAGAGAACAGACGAGAACACAAATCAAAACATATGAAAATGCACTTCTACCAACAACCCAAAAGGAGCAAGAAAGCTAAAATTTGAGATAGACAGCGGTATTAGAAGCATGAGTAAAAAAAAGTGATACACGCGCAAGATGCAGGGAATCGAGGTGAACCATCGGGATGAACTTCTCAAAGAACTATCATCCAAGCTAAATAAGGTAAATTGCAAAGATTATTCAAATGACCGAATATTCAAATATATAAGCGTAAAAGAACAACCGCGACAAAATATTCTTATACTCATAAAGAAAAAAAATATCACACAAGTTTACGCTCAGGACACTTTTGAGTTAAAAAATGAAGCCAAAAGAACATCTAAAGAAATATGTTCCAAAGGGGTGAAAAACTTGATAACACAATGTCACACATGTCAAACGTGCAAACAAATAAACCCTGCAAAAGAACAACAGCTCAAATTCGATCCTCTAGCTTTGAAACAATATGTATAGACATGGTAGGTACAATCACACCCTTCAATAACTACCGTTATGTACAGCAGACTCCTCAATGAATACTTTCTAGCTTTCACAACCGACAACGATTGGGCCAAATGGCTACCTTTACTGTACATTCGCTTACAACACCATCGCCCACGTAAAACCCCAGCACACACCAATCGAGCTTACATATGGACAACTAAAATCATAAACATAAACATTAAAAACACATGCAAATACATACTGTAACCATTTGAAAATTATTCCCACTTAACTTGTATAAATAATTGTTTTTCGCTAAAGAGAAAGGATGCAGTGTTACCATTAAGAGAACGTAAATTAGGTGCGTGAAAAAGGTAAGCAAACAAAAGAAGAGAATGAAACAAGAAAATTAAAATGATGACACACTTCAAAAGTGGCGCCCTTTAACACACACACGTATGCATGCACATGTTATTTGAATTAGTTTATTTTGTTAATTTTATATTTTGTTTAGATTGCTATTTGTTTGTCTAGGTTATTAAATTGTGAACAATTAGCGTAAGGCTAAATTTACATATACGGAAAATAGTATATAAGACGAGATTAGCTTAAATAAAATTATCATTGTCAAAACTAATCTTTAGATGGTCATTGCATTCTATTAAAACCGCATTCAGTTTGTTAGGAGATTAACCCCGGGTAAATCACAATAGCCTTGCCGTTCTGAAGCCGAGCAACGCAGATAAAATAATTGTACGCTAGAGATCCTCCACTTTAATTCTTTACTATAGTAAAAGGCGATCTTGCTGCCGTATCTTCAACAATTTAAACCTTATATATATAAAATTATTATAATTCATAGCCGAGTGCGTATTGCCTTTCTAAAGAATGCTTCCATTCCTAGAGGTTAAATTTATCCAATTTAATCGTTCATGATGATGTCGAATGTCACTATTAGGAAATCTTCTTTTATTTAGACCAAAAAAAAAAAGAAATTGCTTTCCGAACGGCCCGATAAAAACAATGTGAACGCACTTTCTCGCCAACATAATGTATATTTACTTTCGAATCAATTCGATTACTCGAAAACTCGAATACGTCGTGATGAGCAAGTAGCTAGCGCCCTGGATTTCTTTCAACATTTGTTAGAAGCATTTCGTGATAATGCCCGCAAACGTTTAGATTAACGTAATCCATTTGTACGGACAAGTGGCTGACTTGACTGATGTTTAGCTTGAATGAAGAAGAAGAAGAAACCGAAGGTTGGTTCTCTTAATAATTATTTATATTAAAATGTTGAAAACTTCTTTTTTATATATTAATGTCGTTTTTTTTTTTCTCATTAATATTTAAGTTTTTGCAATAATCCAATCGTAATTATCGATTGTTTTAAAAGCAAACAAGTGTTGTGTGTTTTATAAATGTATTAAGAATTTTACTTATAACTTGAAGTTTTCTGAAAAACATTTATTACTCGAAGGTCATGGAATGCGTAGCGGCCAGTTCACAAATACTTTCAAATTTTTTTTTTTCTTACAATGGCAAGCACCGCATTGTTGTTACGCGCAACTTTATAACCTCCAATATCGAAAAAAAAAAAAACAAACCTTCAAAATTTTACTGTCACCGCTCTATACTCTATGCTCAATAATCAATGACTTTCATTAAAATCGATATATAATGAATTGACTTAATTTTATTGAACATTAAATTTTTTTTTTTTTGTTCAATGATAACGCAATAAAATTTGAAGGCAAAGTATTCAATAAACGATGTACCTATAGAACATCTTCTGCGAAGCAACGACTAATTCAAGGCAATCTTAATTAATTTGTAAGGAATGAATAAATGCATTGTACGAAAAATCTTGAGTGACTTTCTAGAGCGAAAGAGAGAGAGCGAGCAAGGGTGAGATTTCAAATTATTATTGCTATTCATTGATTAGAAACGATGGCGATAGAATATATTATTAGAGATTAACTTTCGTTTTTCGAAATGAGGTGAATGATATGAATGAACGAAACACAAACATACAAACACACATCAATGGTGATAAAAATTGTGAAAATTTTTAAGCTAAGCGAAAATATTTTCTTCTCACTTCCGAATTCAAAATTTTCGGATACGCAACTATAGTTGTTGTTAATACACAAAAAAAAAAAAAAAGGGGGTAAGAATTGTAATCAACAGTTGAATACAACATAGAAAACATTTACAAATACATTTCCAGCAGAAAAGCAGTCAATGAAAGGAAAATATGAAGAATTTTGAATCTGAAGGTCTTATCTCAAATAGCGTCTGTAAGATGGTAACCGGCGGCAAAGCCGAAGGTGATAGCAGCATTAGTATAATAAATTCTTACTTCACCGGTTTCTCGTTTGTTCTTTGTTTCTGTAAATAAAATATTAAGCTAAGAATTGAACTGGTAGAACAAAAAGTGAACTAAATTAAACCGATATTATTCCAAAATATCACAACATCAAAAGTATTTCATATGTTAACCGCAAGAGACGACATAACCTGCTATGTAACATAATTTTTACGATGAATTGTTGTATACAGATTTCACTGTCTATTTGCAAAAAGTAAAACAAAAAAAAAAAAAAACAAAGCAACAGGTTAAGCAAACATACGAACGCTCGAATAGAACATCAAAGAGTATACAGAATTTTTCAGTAAAAACAAACTTCACCGAACTCTACTTTCAACAAATCAATTTTATAACCCAGGAGGACCAAGCTTCTCTGAAGTGCAGTTTGAAACACGGACAACGAGCTGCGTTACGATAATCAAACTTTATAAAGTTTGCGGTTTACGAGCAACACAGATTATGGTGAGCGAGCTAACATAAAGCAGACAATAATTAAAAGATCACTGTTTTCGTAAATGATCTTGATAAAGTTACACTTTCTCGTATCAGATTTATCAATAGCTCCAGACCGATAAAGCGAACTACACAATTGTATTGCATGGAGAAGAATTTTACTTTAATTCGTTGATAGAAACAAGACAAGTTTCGATCACATCGCCGGCCTATTGTGGACGCCTAACAATCAATTTGTCTCCATATATAACACGAATTTTTAATTCTTCTATACTTTGAAATTACATTGCATGAGCTTAGTTGTTATGAACGTATACATAAGCCGTAAACCGATCGCAGTTTACGTTACCACGTCTCTCTAATACGTTGCATGTAGAAAGCATTCCCCCTTTCCCTAATTGTCGGCACTACTAAACTCTTGCTCAATACGCACTTAATAATATAGATTTTCAAATGTATTGACGAACGAATGTTACAAGAGGAACGACTAAATTAACGTAAAACATTTACGCGTTAATGCGTGTAATAATATTAATGAACAAATAGCTCGTTTATGAAAATACAGTAAATATATTACACATCGTAAAAGACAATAACAACAACTATGGAATAATCTCGAAAAGAAAAAAAGAAAGAAGCTACAAGAGTACGTGACAGCAATTAAGCTTAAATATGATTTTATAAGCAAGATTCATACCAATGGACTCAATTCCATCACAATACAATGCTTGGCTATGCAAGCATACACATGTTTTCAAATCTATTAAGGAATTTAGCAGCTCGTTAACAGACTTAGTAATGTCAATGGCTATGTAATAAAGAAATTAATGTAAGTCTTGTGCGAGAGAAACCCATTCATATATAGCTTACACTTACCGTTTCCATCCTTTATTTTTTCCATTATTCGTTATAAAGAAATTATTGCAGAGAATGGAAAAAAATTAATTTAATTTGATTTCACTAATTTGATTTTGAATAATTAAAATTATTATATATTTAATTTCAATGAAAAAACTGCCGCTTCTAACTTCATTTATTTTGTAAGGAAGGACAGGCTTTTTTTGCTTTCATAAAAAACTCGTTTTGTTTATTTTTTTTTTTTTATTTATAAAAAACTTTCTTATTGCCAGAGGTTCGTAATACATCTGCTCTTAACCGATGATAATGTTAAACTGGCGTTAGAGCAGTGGAGTTAGATGCTGATCGGTGCACTTTTTAATATCGTTCTTATTATTAATATTGTGTATTGCAAGCGAGTACTAATCGAAGTCGAATTTTCGATGCCTTTTCCTTAAGTATAAAAAATAATATTAGACTTTTGCTTATGTTAAGCTTTTGAAGAATCCTTGCTGCGCACTTTTGATATACATTGTGAAATTAGAAGCGTGTATCAGGTTTATTAGTCCGGCAGTTTTTTTTTTTTTTTTTTTTGCGTCTTCTTATAAAGATGATTGATACCGCTTAGAGCATACAAGATGGGAGCGTACTTAGTTCAGTTATAACGAACAAGTATTGATATTGCAGATCCCACAGCGTAGGCAACTAAGTGGGTTTATTTACATCTCTCACGGCGCTCGTCAAAATATGCAACAGGAAACTGAAATTTATCAAATAAGTTATGTGATCTCCGGTCAAATTTTAAAATAAGTCTAAACACTTATATATGCGGTTCCCCTAGAGTCACGAGATTGTAACTAAAACTTGAAAAGAAGACATCGATCTAAAATTTGATAAAAAAATTTATCAGAATCACTTAAAAGTACAGTGAAATAATTGAGTCGGCTTTCTGAGATATGTCCCGTTTTTTTTTTTTTCTTTATTTTCAAAATTGTTTCAATTTTCTTATAGTTGCCGAAGTTACATTAGTTGGTCATTGCACTTGTGCCCAAGGCATGGCTATGTTACACACTCTTCAGGTCTGATGTTATTCACATTCCTAGAAGAAAACTGAAATATAACAATGTATGTTCTTAATAGCGTAAACATAATCAATCAATACTTTTTTGTTTAATGAGCAACTAGCCAGTTGATACCGGCTACGCACATAGGCACAATATTAGTCTGCAAGGATTATATGTGCAAAAAATGAAGGAAAAAATCGACAATCACTCTTTTGAAAAGAAAAAATGGAATCTTACAAATTAATTTTATTAACGGCACAGTTAGTTTGGGCAAACACCTGCTAGAAGCAATCGACTGATAGACAAGATTATTACTTAAAAAGTTGAAAATAAGTTCCTTTCATATATCGACTGTAGACTGATTTCTAATCAAGGTTCGCTTTATAGTTATTGATCGAAGCTTTGACGTGTATTAGTTGATAAAATTGATATATAGATAAACGATCAAATATCAAATGTAAACTGGATTCTCCCTCGAAACTTATCCTAGCCTTTTAATTATATGCTTTTGTTTTATTCATCAATAATATTGATATTAATTTAGGTTTTTCGGCAAGAGAGTCACGTCGCTTCTTTTGCGATTAGAAAACAAGCCACATTATCATTACATATAATATTTTCACAGCTGAACTAGCAAGACTTCCTTATGAAATAGTTTGTTATTATTAATTATTTGCGCAATAATTTTCTCCAAAAGCATTTTCAGCATATTTTACTTTTTTTTTTGCTATCGAAAAGATAAAAATACTATTCAAGCACGAAAAAAATTAATTGGATACGTATGAAGCAAACGTTTTGACAGAAATCCAATGCCAAAAATGCTTTACAGAATTTCATTCCTCAAAAATTTTGGTGTCGAATATCTAGAGATTTAGAAGGCGCATTGAAACTGATATGTAGCGTCAAAATCAGGACATTAACTGATACAAACCGATAAACAATAACTCGTAAGTTCGCTGAGAAATTATATAATGCACATATATCGCATTTAACGGTTCACCATAAAAAAAAGGTGAAAGGAAATTGCTGTCCATTGTGATCGCAAAAACTGCACTGACTTTCCGAACAACCCTATAAACAAAGAAAACAAATTATAAACACACATACTGTAACTAATATATAATCTGAATAAATAATAAATTGTACATATATTAAGGTCATTTTCAAAATAAAATGTAAATATCTACCAGCATTTATCTAGACTATCTGTAATCTATCGATAGATTTTCACAAATATGAACATGCAAAAAACAATAAACAAGCAACAAAATTTTATTCGATCGCGTCAGAATTTTTAATACCCGTAAACTTGCTCCTAGAAAAAAGGAAAAGAAATAAATTTTCATAGTCTATAATATTGAACAGCTGCAAGCAACATCGGACTAAAGTCGAAATTTCTGTGGTGTGCATTGTCTAGTTTATGAGTAACAAGCAAATATCGCGGGGAGCAAGGGTGTTCACAGTTTTTGTGATATAAAGGTAAGACCGTGATGGACGTATTCTTTGAAAGGTTTGGGTACTTTCCAAATTTTTGTGCAAGCTTGTAGGCGATATTTTCATTTTCGCAAACAGGAGACCGTTTACTACATATACTACACAGTTGCACAGGCAGACAGATAGACAGACGAACAGACGGACATGTTTAGGTGCATTCCAAATTTGAAACTATCCAAGAATTTGCATACTTAATGGGGTTTTCGAAGCTTATTTCTTAGCGCTATAGGGTTATTGAAAAACAATTAAATTTTGATACACTATAATAAGGTATGGGTATGCGTGGACAATTTTTTCAGCTTTTGCGCACAAATGCTACAGCATCGCCCCTGGAATAGGTGTTCAAACTTTTGTACATTTATTTGTTATAGTTTACGGGTAATACGCAAAATACCAATATTTTATTTCTTTTGGAAAACAGAGGTGTTGTCAGTTTACGTGCTACTGTGGGCGTGTTCTTCAACCGATTTGGCTCATATTCAATACCGACCGGCATGTGAAAACTTCCAGTGTTTGTGCTAAATTTAAAGTGATTAGCTTCATTTTT